CCTGATAGTTAGCCGACAGGACTTACTGAAGCTTGGAAGTGAGGAGCAAAAGAATCCAGAACAGTTCTCATGGTTATGGCCTGAGCAACTGGAAAAATGGGGTTCTTTTCCCAGAAGGAAAGGACTGGGGGAAGAACATGATTATGACAGGGGTGGAAGGGAGATACCATGAATTAGTTCATCTTTGAACACATTAAATTCTAGATATGTTAGGCATGCAAGCAGAGAAGTCACATATGCAGTTGATTACATGGGTCTGGAATCCTGGGCTAGAGATACAATCTTTGAAGTTACCAGCAAGTAGATATTTAAAGTCATGAGACAGGGTGACGGCCACAATGAGGGCTGACCATAGGAAAAGAGAAGTTTAAAGATTGAGCCCTAGAAGAATTTTCATGTCTAGAGTAAAGAAATAAAGAAAAAATAAACTGGGAGAAGTAGCTGTCAATAAAGTACAAGGAAAAGTGTGATAGCCCAGAAGCCAAGTGAAAAAAAGGTGTCAAGGGTGAGAAGTGATGAATTGTACCGAATAATGCCGAAAGGTCAAGTAAAAGAACTGAAAAAAAGTACATTTAGCCACAGGGAGTGCCTTAGTGTCCTTCAGCAAGAACAGAAATAAAGACCTGACTAGGAGGGTTGCAAGAAGGAGCAGCACCTGGGTGGCTCAGTGGGTTAAGGCCTCTGCCTTCTGCTCAGGTCGTGATCCCAGGATCCTGGGATCGAGACCCACATTAGGCTCTCTGCTCAGCAAGAAGCCTGCTTCCCTTCCTCTCTCTCGGCCTGCCTCTCTGCCTGCTTGGGATCTCTGTCTGTCAAATAAATAAATAAAATCTTAAAAAAAAAGAGAGAGAGAGAACAGAAGGAGAGGAAGTGGAGACAATAAGCACAGGAATATTCCTAAGTGAAGCAAGAAATGGAGTGGCAGGCAGAGGGGGATGCAGGACATATATTTACAAATACATATGTTTAAGATGAGAAAAACTACAATTATGCTACTGGAAAGATTCAATAGACAAGAAAAAAAAAAAAGATGCAGAGGAGAGGACACTTGTAGGAATGATGTCCTAGTTTAAGGATGGGATCTAATGCAAGAGAAGTTGGCCTTAGATAAGGGAACCAAGTATCACCAATACTAACAGGAAGAAAAGGAAGAGCACATAGATGAGATGCACACAGGTGACAGTAGTTATCTTCTGGCTGCTTTAATTTTTCTCAGTTAACTAGGAAAGCAGGTCACCAGCTGAGGACTGGGTAAAATGCTGGAGGCTGAAGAGAGAAGCTATAAAACTATAGTTCAGGAGGATGGCACCTAGGAGATGGGACAATGCACTAGGCAAACAGATGCTTGAGGTTAGCAGTCAGGAATTTAAAGTGGGGCTGCTCACTGCAGCTGTTTTTCTGCAGCCACAGCTAGCCGCATGGGGACAGGAGTGGTATAGGCAGAACTAGAATCTTTTTTTTCTTTTTTTGGTGAGATGCTCTGGTTCTTTCATTTCAATATGTATTGCATTAAATTATAAGAATATGCCACACTAGCCCTTTCACTTACTGACAGACATCTATGCTGTGTCCATCTCATTACTCCTTCAGACACTGCAGCAATAAGCATCCTTGCACGTCTTTGTGCTCACACAGGAGAATTTCTAGTCCTGCGTGTAGATCTAGAAGTGGAATTGCTGGGCCATGATATGTGCTTAGCTTCACTCTAACTGCATATCGCCAAATTACTCCTCAAAATTATTATATCAATTTATCCTCTCACCAGCAGTGTACCCAAGTTCTCATCCCCCCCCCCCCCGCCAGACAGGCTTCTAAATTTTTGCCACCCTAATGGGTAGGAAATAGCATCTTATTGCCTTCATTGGCAAAATTCTGGTTTCAGGATCGAGCACCCTTTCATTTATAAGCCAGTCTTCTTTGTCCAACAGATCTCTACTCCATCACTCACTTAGCGAGATTACCTTAAGTACCTACCATGTGACTGGCATTGTGATAAGCAGGGGAACAAAGAAATTATCAAGAGACAGAGACCCTGCTTTCCTGGAAATCATGATCTGGTTTCAGGTGAGAGTGGGGAGAAAACCAAATAATCACAAATACAGACCGTGGTAACCTAAAGCACATTAACAGTAAACTATGAGAAATTCAAAGAGGGTGATCAATTCGGTGAAGGGAGAGCAGCAGAACCTGACGTGACATTTTCATTTCAACAGCTGAGTAAGAAAAAAACCAGGCCCACTGTCAGGCATACATTTTCCTGTCTTCCCAGGCCACAGAGGTAAAGTATTTCTTATTTCCCATTAGAAAATGAGGAGATGTGTATTAGGTTTCTCTAATATAAACAACAGAAATCTGACAAATTAGCTTAATCAAAAAGGAGTAAACTGGACCACAGTGGGAGTCCGCTGAACCCCAGGAAGAGTTTCAGAAATTGAGCCAGGTCCAAGGACCTCAGGATTAGCAATGAGAACACCAACGTGTTGGCTGCATCTCCTCCTCCAATGCACCTTTCCTCTCTGGTAAGGAACTGGACTCTAGGCAATTCTAGGCCTTCACCTTTCCAGTCTAGCAACACAAAATTAAAGTGTCCCTGCCAAATCTATTTTGAACATTTTCTGGCAAAGGACTCTGGCTCAATTATGTCACATGCTTGCCCCTAGAACTATCATTAAGCCCCAGGGATGTTGACTTATGTTCCTGGGGTCAGTACAGCAGAAATGTTACAAGAAAAAGAGGGAGAAAAAAGCTGGGCAGAGACAAGAGCCACCATAAGACCTAGAACAAGGAGTCGTAAGGATTAAATGAAATGACGGCTATGAAATATTTCAGATGATTTCTTTCTAGTAGTAAGCATGAATAAATGGTAGCTATTATTAACTCACCTGACCGTGATGAGTTTAGCAGTTAATGCCTCCTCCTGGATGCACCATACTTTAATCTTAGCCAAGTTCTGAAAACTGAAAAAGACAATCTGACATCCGTTCAACTTAGAAGGCTATTTATTGAAATAATACAATGATGTTACAAGGATCCATTTCATGTTGCTTAGGAAGCTGGGTGTTCCTAAGTGCATGGTGCCCGGTTGCTGGAACTAGAAAATCCTCTGTTCAATCAACCACACATACCACGGACACTCTGGGCTCCTTCTCTGTCAATGCCGATGTGCGGAGATTCAGAGACTGGTTGGATCTAGGCCAAGTTCCACACAAAAACCAGTGGTTTTCTTTGAGTCTTCTGGACCTAAGTCTTTACAAACTTCTAAAGAAGTAGGATAGCACTCAACTGGTTACAATTTGTGTCATTCTTGCAAATAGTCCACTAGGGGGATCCCCAAATACTCAGCAGCAAATTATTCTTGATAAGCATGATAGCCATGGGGTGGGGTTGGGGGACGGCGGGAGTCTGTATAGAATTACCCATTGTCAAACAATGTATCAGACAACACATGGTCTTGGCACTGTGTGTGTGAGCATGTGTGTGTGTTAAGCATGGAACATCACAAACAAGGTATTTTTGAATGGTTAAAGTCTTGGAAGGGCAGATTCCCATCTTGTTCCACTTGTGATGGACTCATTGGGCTAGACATCACACATTTCAGCCCCCATGCACATTTTTCCTGCAAAGAATTATGAAGAATATTTGGGAGCTACCTCCTGTTGTCCAGGATGAGACAAGGATAATGGATCCTGCTACTTGGCATGCAAAGAAGGCAATAGGAAACGTTTACCATCAACATCATCCATATCATTCCTCTCCAGGATTCATCAGGGTGGAAAAATTTACTTGGGAAAGGCTGTTGTGTCAAAGGGGTCAAGGTCCACAGTTGCTTCCAAATTTATCTCCACTGTTGGCACCTTTAGGATAATCCATGGGAGGCATGAGAGAACATTGGGATTGGGTTGGGCTACTGATGCTGATCTCATGCCTTACTGATGGAAGAGCAGCATAGAACTAAAGAAGTTGAATTTTTCATAATGAACTATTTCCTTGGCACACAAAATGGGTCATCACATTGGTTCTCAAAACTGATTTAAAGACAAGATTTTATGACAATGGGTAATTATATTTATACTTCTCCACAGTAAAATTAACTTGGGGAAATTTTTTCCTCTTTAGTTTTGTGCTGTTTTCCCATTGGTTTAATAACAGGAAGCTTGGGGCAGTGCTTTCTCATGGGAGTGTGATTAAAAAAAAACAACAACAACAGTAAGAGGACTTAACAGGTCTATGAAACTGACATATGATAGTTGAGAGTATAAATATTACACTTGGGAAAAGGAAAAAAAGTCACCAGCAGTTGAACTATTCACAGTTTTTGTTAACATTTTGGTATGTAAGCTTCCAACAAGCTGTTCTGAATATGTCTGTGACAAATCTGCCTCTGTATTTTGCTGCCTCTTATGCTTTTATGAATTCCTAGAGTATCCGAGTGCTCATTAGTTTGTGCATCTGATTTATTTTAAAATTTACACTAAAGCCCTCTGAATTCCTAAATACCTTTTCAGTGGCTAGACCACAGGGCCACAGATCCAGGAGACCTGCTTTCTCCGCCCAGCTTTGCCATTATAAGCTGTATCACACCGTGCGAACCACTTCACATCTTTGGCTTTTGGTTTCTTCATCTGTACAATGAAGTGGTTGGACCAGCTGATCTCATTCTTTGAATGTTGGATTCCGGGAGGTGGAATTGGTTTCCATGGCGAATTTAATGTAAGAGCTGCAGTTGAATACAGTTGTCAAGCAATTTTAAAAGTAAGTTTTGGTCATTACTGCAGGAGCTTTATTAAAAAAGGTTGTAAACACAGAATTACAAGTCAAACTGTTCAAAGCTGATGATCTCCTGCATACATATATTCAAAAGCTTTATAAAGTCCCATACATAGGCATATCCTTTCCAATTGGTTATATATGATGTTTGTAGTTGTTTTTACAAAAGTCTATAATCAGATTTGAGAATGTGGTTTCTATTTATTAAAAAAAAAAACATTGTCACTAGCACAGAGCTCTCTTCACACACACACACACGGTGGTTTCTATTTATTAAAAACATTGTCACTAGCACAGAGCTCTCTTCACACGCGCGCACGCACACACACACACACACACACACACACACACACACACAGAGCCATTACATTCTCAAGCTTCCTCTCTAGTAAGAATCCTCAGATACTAAATAAGAACAATATTTTAGCTAAAATTTTCTGCACATTCCTTAATTTCAGGGCTTCTACAGTTTATTTCGTGCATGAATTCTCTGGTGTTTAGTTAGTGCTGAACTTCTACTGAAGTTTTTCCCACATTCCTTACAAGCATAGGGTTTTTCTCCGGTATGAATTCTCTGATGATCGTGAAGATTGGTTTTCTTTCGAAAGGCTCGCCCACATTCATGACATTCATAGGGTTTTTCTCCAGTATGAGTTCTCTCATGCTGAATGAGGGATGAACTTTGACTGAAGGCTTTCCCACAGTCAATACATTCATAGGGTTTCTCTCCAGTGTGCGTTCTCTCATGCTGAGTAAGCGATGAGCGCCGACTAAAGGCTTCTCCACATTCGTTACATTCGTAGGGTTTTTCTCCAGTATGAATTCTGTGATGCTCTATGAAGCTTGTACTCCTTTTGAAAGCTTTTCCACATACATTACACTGATAGGGTTTCTCTCCAGGATGAGAAATAGGTTGTTGACTAAAGTTTTGCTCACATTCATAGGGGTTCTGTCCGGAATGGATCCTCTGATGATCAGTAAAGTCAGTAATGAGACTGAAGTCTTCCCCACAGTCATTACAATGATAGGATTTCATTTCAGCGACGGTGCTTTCATCTTGTGTAAGAGATGAGCTGTGCTTGAAATCTATGCTATAGTTATTGCTTTGGTAAGGTTTGCCTCTCTTATGAATCCTCATATGTTTATAAAGGGATGGACTCTGACCAAAAGCCCTCCCACATATGCTACATTCAAAAGGTTTCTCTCCCGTATGAGTCCTTTCATGCTGGACGAGGGAAGAACATCGACTAAAGGCTTTCCCACATTCCTTACACTGGAAGGGTTTCTCTCCACTATGTGTGACCTCATGCTGAGTGAGGGACGTGCCATGCCTAAAAGATCTCCCACATAAATTGCATCGATAGGGTTTCTCTCCAGTGTGAATTCTCTGGTGTTGAACAAGGGAGGAGCTGCGCTGGAAGGCTTTCCCACAGAGACTGCACTGGTAAGGCTTCTCTCCCGTGTGAGCATTCTCATGCTGACCAAGGGATGAGCTATGCCTGAAGGCCTTTCCACATACATTACATTCAAAGGGCTTCTCCCCAGTGTGAATTCTCTGATGCTCAGTAAGTTGTGTCTTCCAGAGGAAGGTTTTCCCACAGTCAGTACATTCATGGTGTTTCTTTCCAGGATAAATACCCTGATCTGTACCATTGGGGAAAGCTCCCTCTCCTTTATGAGTTTTCTCATGTTTAGTAAGTGATGATCTATGAATAAAGGCTTTTCTACATTTGTCACATTTATAAGGTTTCTTTTTTGCAAGGATATTATTCTGATTAATTATATCTGAAGTATGTCCCAAACTGCTTCCGAGTGTATCACATTCATTAGGCCTTGAAGGACCATTCAGTTGTGTAACCAGGACTGTGTTCAATCTAGAGTTTTCACCAAATTTATTTTGCTGGAAGTTTTCTTCTGGCGTGATTATTTTCTTCTGGTTGGATGCATCTGGCCCCAAGTACCTTTTCCAGTTTTCCTGGTGCCTCTCAAACTGGCTACCAACACCCCAAGTGCTTTGGAAGGTGGCATGCGAAAGGCCATCTGTGCTACGGGATCCTGCAGAGACGCTCTCTTGCAGATGTGATGATCTGGCTTCGGGCCTGGTCTTCCAGTCTGAAAAAAAATCCGAAGTGCAAAAGTCCCCTATTCCCTCCTGCTGAAACAAACTGCTACAGCAGGGATGGGGAAATGAAAGAAATATAAACTATACATGATTCTGTTTTGCAATTAGTCCTATAGTTTGGAGAGAAGACCCACAATGAAGGAAAGGAAGAGTACGGAGAAGTGACAGCGCAGACCGCCGAGCCAGAGGGTATGGTAAGTCTAGAATGAGGAATCCCCTCTAGGAGGACTGGTTAGGAAGTAAGGGAATAAGTGAGCATGAGAATGTTAAGCACAGACACAAATGGAATAAAACCATGGTCTGTCTTGCAAGATCCTGTATGTTTTTCATGCTTCCTGCCCATTTTACAAATCATCCCCAAATCTGTCTTCCTAATATAGCCAATTCACAATTTCTTTAAAGTCTCCTCTGAGGCTCCAAATCTTCAAATCCTATAGAGAAAATCCACAGCAATTGATGTAATGGAAATCATCCTTTGACTTACTTGGAGACCAAGTGCTATACTTTAAAGGCTGAGATAAAGTCATATTTTAGGAGGCAAATTATCATTGCTTTTATAATTAGGGCTAAGGTTTTAGCCTATTGGAGTTCTGGTTCTACACTAATCATCTCTCTTGAGCAAAAAGGATTTTACTTAGTCTAATAAATTGATCTCTAAACCCCTGTTTCAGGGTGCCCGGTGGCTCAGTTATTAAGCATCTGCCTTTGGCTCAGGTCATGATCCCAGGGTCCTGGGATCAAGTCCCACATCGGGCTCCTTGCTCAGTGGGGAGTCTGCTTTTTCCTCTACCTCTGCCCCTCCCCCTGCTTATGCTCACTGGTGCTGTCAAATAAATAAATAAAATCTCAAAAAATAAAAACCAAAATCAAACCCCTGTTTAACCTCAAAATATTAATACCAGACAATTAGTTTCTAGGTTTCTTATTTTTTTTTTTTAAGATTTTATTTATTTGACAGAGAGAGATACAGCGAGAGAGGGAACACAATTAGAGGGAGTGGGAGAGGGAGAAGCAGACTTCCTATTGATCAGGGAGCCTGATGTGGGGCTTGATCCCAGGACCCTGGGATCATGATCTGAGCCGAAGGCAGCCGCCTAACGACTGAGCCACCCAGGAGCCTCTAAAAACGGTAATTTTTAAAAAACTAAGGAGAAGGAGGGCTCTGAGGTGATGGACATGTTCTATATTGAACTGAATTTGGATTAGGTGGCTGAGTGCATTTGTCAAAATCAACTGGATGGTACTTAGAAGAGCTGTATATCTTACTGTATGCATGTCTTTCTTGAAAAAAAAAAACCCCATAAATATTGAACTCTGGTTAATGATACACAGGAATATAGGAGTGAAATGTACTTATGTTGGCAACTTAGTTGGAAATGCATCAAAAAGTATGACAGATTTTAAAAAAAGATTGATAGAAGGGATAGATGAATATGTGATAAAGCAAATGTAATAATATTTTAACAACTATAGCATCTTGGTGGTAGGTATATGGTGTTCACTGTATAATTTTTTCAACTTCCTATACATTTGAAAATATTCATAAAATGTCAGGAGGGAAAAAAACAACAATCAAGGGACCCTAAGCCTCAAAATTCCTTACCCTGGAACAAGACTCAATTCTAATTTTCCAAATGACAGAAAATGCTTTGTATTTCTTCTAGAATACTTCTCAGAGGGATATTCAAGAAATGTTGACATGAATGAATGAGAAAGTTCTCTCCCCAATCACATGAAAAAACAATCAAGTAATTCCTGACTGCTTTCTATGTGCTCTGTAATACCGAATACATAGATATACAATAGACTCTTTCTCCAAGAGCCTGAAGTCTTAGAAATAAGAATCAATCTTTTGATAAAAATGGAAAACCATCAGATGGTATATTCTTAAAATCTGAGCTTGGGCAGTAAAGATGATATAAATGGTATTTGTGATCAGGGAAGGAAGAAATAAATACATAAATACATAGTAAGTTCATGGATCGAATAGACACCTTGAACTTAAGGAATAGACAGCTTTGGATAGGTAGAGAGTATCACCTGACTAGGGAAACTGCACACTACTTACAGAAAACATTAGAAAGTTCAACCCAAGTGGAGCTTGTTTTAGTGGGAACAGAAAGAGAATACTGGAAGATATGATAGGGGACCTGTAAGTCGAGGGGGAGTTTTTATTTCCTATAACGGGGTATAGGGAGTAACAGCAAGGTTTTGTCAGAGGTAAGTGGTTTATGAAGATAGAGCATTAAAATCCAATATGGTCCACCAAGTGATGAGTAGATAAACAAAAGGTGGTTTGTCCATACAATGGAATATTACTCAGCAATACAAAATATGAAGGTACTAATACATGCTACAACATGAATGAACCCTGAAAATATTATGCTAAGTGAAAGAAGCCAGTCACAAAAGGCTACATATTATATGACTCCATTTACATAAAATATCCAGAAATGGTAATCCATTGATAGATAAAGATTAATGGGTGCAGGAGTTGGGGGGAATGGAGAGTGACGCTAATGGGTATGGGGTTTCTTTTTGGGTGTTGAAATGTTCTGCAGTTAGATAATGGTGATGGTTGCACAACTCAGTAAATATCTAAAACACCACGAAACTGTACACTTTAAAAAGGTGAATTTTATGGCATTTAAATTATATCTCAAAAAAGCTATGATTTTAAAAATCCAATATTGCTTATAAAAGAAAAGACTGATCAATTTCAACTGGGAATTGTAGTAATCTCCAAGTGGGGCCTAGTTTGAGAGGAAACTAAACTGAACTGCAAGAAAAAGTCTAAACTGAGTGGGCTGTTTGTACTGAGGGATTAGAGATTCAGTGGTTTCTAATGGGCAAAGGGAGAAACGAGTAATGGGCAAGGTAGCAAAATGTGCTGGCTGGGGATGAAAGATGATTAATTTAGATTTTAGGTATTTAATTGCATGGGACTTCCACAAGGAATGGTCTTATGAGAAGGGAAAAAAATGACCAGGGTACAAGTAAGGATTATTTCTAGGTCCAAAGTATAGAATAAAGCTCTGTAACTACCACCCTTGTTTGGTGCTAATACAGAAAGAAAAGGGGAGGAGCATCTCCCTCTCGCTTAGGGAGAAAACGAAGCAAAGTCAAAGACCTAAAGCTACAAAGCACTTAGTAAGCCCAGAGACCAGGAAAGGATGATACTGCAGGAACCATGGAGGCAATGAAGCAAACTGGCATGAAAACAGGATGGAAGGAAGATGGCACTCCTCCCCAGAGAGGTGTTGTAGGAGTGTGGTGAGGAGAAGAAGTCTGAAGGCAAGTTATGAAAAGATGGAGAATCAAAGCCATGGGTACTGCCTATAAGTCTGGGGCCACCGACTGTAAAAGCAGAAAGACAAAACAAGAGGACATGAGAGTTCAATTAATGTCTCAATGAATAAGAAAATGGATTGCAATCATGATGAGAGACAGAGGACACCAGAGGCGAAAATCCAGCAATCGGGTCACAGTATAGGGAGAAATGGTATTCTGTGTAGGACAAAGGGGTACATTTTCCTCCGAGACCTGCCAGCAGCAGGAACACCCTATTGGAGAAGGGAGACAGAGGTGTCATCCGGGAGATGGCTCCGTCTCCTCTGCAGGTCTAGGAGTTCCCAAGGCGCCAATATGAAGGTGCTCCCTCCTCTGCGCCGCCCCAGCTGTGCCACTGCGCGCACGGATGCCTGCGTGCCTCACTCCCCCTCATTTACCTGGACAGAAAGGTCTTTGGATTTCTCCCTCTGATATCCATGGCTCTTCTCCTTGTTCCAATTTGAAGATCACCTCTGGCTTGGAAACTTGATACCCTGCTCATGGGTAAATACACAAGATTTGGTTGTTTGTGCAAGTGGACAAAGACCCCTCCTACAAGTCAGTACTAGTCCTTGATCTTCAGGAACTCTGAAGGGAAAAAAAAGGTGCAACTTGAGGAGTCATGCAATCAAATGACCTACTTCCGGTTCTGCAAAAGAAAGAACTTTACCTAAAGAGCAGGCTCAGGGAACTATAAAGCTGAGTCCAAAAGAGAAGAAGAAGCTCTAGTTGTGAGGCAACCCTGCTCACGGCCACCTGATCTACGAGCCCCACAATCTTAGCACCTGAGAAAGAAAAAACCTGCCAGTAGGCAAGATACTGACTCAGTCCTTACCAAGAGAAACCAGGTGGCTATAGTTCTCCAGCATCACATCCCTGTACAAGCGCCTCTGAGCAGGGTCCACGTGGTGCCATTCTTCCTGGGTGAAGTCCACAGCCACATCTTTGAATGTCACTGATTCCTGTAGGATCACATTCCTGTTCAACTAGGGATCCACACCACAAATGTTCCCATGGCAACACTGGGAACATACTTCAGGGCTATCAGAAACAGTGATCACACATTTGATATCCTGAGGGGGTGATGTTGGGTTAAATACACTAGCTGCTCACATAATTTTGTAAAGAATCCAGTATGGCAGGCAGGAATGTCATGAGGGGCAACATGTTCTGCAATCCCATATCCTTACTTAGCTATCATGTTTTCTTGGAAAGCCAAGCCTTGTCACACAATCATCAATTCCTCACTGCCCATGCACTTCCTTTGTTACCAAATCCAAATATAATGGGGGGGGGGAACAATGGCCCCCCTTCACCCCTTTCACCAATTTCACTGTGCTCCCTAGAAATAAGCACTGTGAACAGTTTGGTACATACATTCAAGAGTCCCTACTCCGTGCTTCATTCACACATACAGAGAGTCTTGTTTTGTGAAATACCTTACATATGGCTCTACAACTTGCTTTTTGCATTTAACTATGTATCTTGGGGATCCTCCCATAGGGGTACAAATAATTTCACCTTATCCCTTTGAACTGCCTCATAGTACTCCACAGACAACAGTACCATAACATAATCATTGCCTAAAACCAAGAGCACCCCATTGTCCTACGGAGGAGATCCGGACATGCCCACCACTTACTGGACTCCGGCCAGGCTGCCCTTGCTGATCCCTGAATACATCCAGCTTGTTCCTACCCTGGGGCTTTTATACTTGTCACTCCCTCTTCCCTAGGATCTCCACATGGTGGAAAACTAGTTTCTAGTTACTCAGTTCTCATCTTGAGCACATCCCTCAGGGAAGTTGTCTTAGCATGTCCCTCCCAATTTACTTCCCATCGCACTACCATGTTAATATTCCTCCAAACACAGGCACCTCTCACTGCCTGAATCCCTGCCACTTGAACTCAGGAACCAAACACATTCAGGTAAAAAGGACACCTGTACTTTCAACAATAATCTGAGATTAACTTGTTAACCTCTCTGCCCCCCCCATTCCCAGCCACCATGAGCTCCACAAGAAGAGGGACTTTATCTATCTTAATCATTTATATGTCCAGCACAGAGTGGATGTTTAAGAAATGCTTGGTGAGGGGGCTGCGCTGAGCCTAGCTGGTTCAGTCGGTTTAGTGTCTGCCTTCAGCTCATATCATGATCCTGGGGTCGTGGGATCCAGCCTGATGTCAGGCTCCCTGATCAGCGGGGAGTCTGCTTCTTCCTCTCTAACCCACTTATGCTCTATCACTCTCTCTCTCTCTTAAATAATAAAATCTTAAAAAAATAGTTGGTGAGTGAATAAACCAGCCCCTGTTAGTGGACAATTAGTCAGTATTTTGCTCCTACAAACATTACTACAATAACTCCTTTTTGTAGATATAGCTAGTTAGAATTGGAATTGCTAGGTCAAGGTCTTTTCCCGATTCTTACCCCCTGCAATCACTTCTTCCTCACTACCCACTGAACCTAGGCTAGCTAAGATCCCCATGCCTCTCCATCAGTTCCAATACTTAAGGACTGAGTTTTGTCTTATCTTACTAGGCCTTGTTAAGGCTATGAGATACCTGTCAACAGGCCCTACCTGAAATATTTCCTTTGGTCCTGGTTGGATTTCGATCTCAAAATGTATACAGTAAAATATGGTAAAGATAATTAGTGTGAAAAGGCACTGAGAGCAGAGCTGGGTTAACTGGAGCAGTAAGGGAAGGTTACATGGAAGTTTCCGCCTTATTTTGTGTCCATCTCTCTGTAGGCTCCGCTATAGCTCATCTGGAGCTACTTCAATTTCCTGCAGGGTGTCATTCTCTCCCCACCTTCCCACTTTCTTTCCTGTGCTAATTCCATTTCATACTTCAGGTCTTGGTTAACAGATCCTCAGTGAAGTCTTCAGATCCCCCACTGGAGGGTCAATCCCTGTATTGTGTGTTTTGGGTTTGTTTTGTTGTTGTTGTTGTTGTTTTGTTTGTTTGGTATTATGTGTTTTAAGCCATTTTGTACACCTATGACTATTCGAATAAACCTAATAATCTATTTAATACTTGTTTTCCTAGTTAGATGCTGAGCATTTTATGAGGGCAGAGACTGTACCTTTTTTTCTTTAACTTGAAAACACAGTGCCCAGCAAGTATCTGATTCACACTGAACTCTGGTTTCCTGACAGAATTGTGAATTCTAGAGAAGACAGGAGAGGGCCCTCCTCCTGTTGAGAGAGGATCATGACCACATCCACACCCAACACTGGCTCCTCCATACCGTATTCTTGCTCAGCACTGTGGCTGTGTCCCTGCAGGAACAAGGAAGTGCTGGAATGTGGGAGATTTTTCTGACAGAAATCAGGGATCTGGACTGTGCCAGGGAAGGTGGCAGGAGACATTCACTAGGTGCCTGGCTTTACCAGATGCACTGTGGCAGAAAGAAATATACAACTGAAAAACACTGCAGTCCTTGAGTAGGTTCCAGTCTATTTTAAGATGTTTTATTCATTACAGCACAGTATGAGACAATTCATAGTAAAGCGAGGTGCCACAGGCCTGCAGAGGACAGAAAATGAGGGAAGAAAGAGATTAAGGCTGGCTATGCGCTAGGCCTGAAGATGTAAGTACCATTTGAATCGGAGAAGAAAGTGGGAATCCAATCTGGGGACTACCAAGCTTGAAAAGAGAGGCTTGGCTTGGGATGGGCATGGCCAGCAGGGTAAAAGGGGTTGGATCAAGGTAGGCATTTTAAGTCAGGTTGTAAGAAATAACACTTTCTCCCCATTGCCTACTCTGTCCTGTAAACATACAGCCCCTTTGGCTGTCAGCTAACTTGGATTCCTTTGCCTAACTGGTCCCTCCTATCAATTTATTATTATTACTTAAAAATGTTTATTTATTTAAATAATCTCTACACCCAACGTAGGGCTTGAACTCACAACTCTGAGATCAAGAGTCACATGTTCCTCCAACAGAGCCAGCCAGGCACCTCTATTATTTTTAATTAATTATCTCTACATCTAATGTGGGGCTCGAACTCATAACCCCGAGATCGAGTCCTATTCTCTTCTCAGTGAGCCAGCAGAGGTGCCCCCAGTTTCCCCATATTTAATACATGGGCTCCTGATTTTCTTCTGCCTCCCCAAACAGACTGCACTCATGGCAGGGAATGCTAACCAGTAAACAAATGTCTAGTTCAACAAATGTCATTTCTTGCCTCAACAGGGCAACTACTGGCTTCTGTTCTACTCTTGATCCCACAACTCTTTTTCCTACCCACTATGGGAGTCAGTTTTCTAAAATGCAAACCTTTGATCATGTTACAAACCAGGCCACCATCACCTCTTACCCGGACTACTGCTACAACCTCCTAACTTCTCTCCTTTTCCACTTATGCCCTGCTCCGAGGCCTGTCTTCCATATATCAAACAGAGTGATCGTGTTAAAATCTGTCAGATCAATTCACTCCTTTGCTTAAAAATTGCCAACAGGATCTCAGTTCACTCCAAGTAAAAGCCAAAGTCCTCACAGTGGCCTACACATCCCCCGCCACTCTGTCCCCTACTATCTCCCTGACTTCATCTTGAACCTCATCCCTGACCCACTGCTCTTCCTCCTTCAGATTCCTGGAACACACCAAGCATGTTTCTGCTCTGGAGCCTTTGTTTTGACCGTTCCCTTGACCTGGAAGTTTCTTCCTGAAGATTTGCACGTGGCTCCCTACTCATTTGCTCCAGCTCTTTGTTCAAATATCACCTCATCAGAGCAAACCTCCCTGACCACCCTGCATAAAACAGCATCGCACCCTGCACTGTCACTCTGGTTTCCTCTCCTTTTCATAGTCCTTCCCACCTGACATATATTTTCATTTGCTTATAGTATGTATTGCAGAGCACAATGTAAACTCCGGGAGAGCCTGACTATCACCTATTTTCTTCATGTCTGACTCTTCAGTGCCTAGAACAGACCTGGTGCATAGTAGGTGTTCCAGAAATATTTAATAAATGCTTTTCTTTTCTTTTTTTTAAGATTTTCTATTTATCTATTTTTGCATGTGTGCACAACAGAGAAAGCATGTGTGCGAAAGCAAGCATGAGAGGGGGCAAGCATGAGGGGCAGAGGGAGATGCAAACCTTACTCTAAGCAGGGAGCCCGATTCAGGACTCGATCCCAGGACCGTGGGATCATGACCTGATCTGAATACAGATGCTTAACCGACTGAGCTACCCAAGCACCCAAAAAATATTTCTCTTTAGATTAAAAATTAGATTCCTTCATGTGACCTTCAGAGTTCTTCATAACCTGGTCCACACCTTACTTCCACAGCCTCACCTCTGGCTTTTCCTAACCGTGGACACCATAATTCAGCCTGCAGAAGAGTTACAAATTGAAACTAAACACTCTCTTTTGCCTCTGTAAAAATGCTTGGCCTAGCCTGGGTGGCTCAGTGGGTTAAAGCCTCTGCCTTCAACTCAGGTCATGGTCCCAGGGTCCTGGGATCGAGCCCCACATCGGGCTCTCTGGGCAGCGGGGAGCCTGCTTCCCCTTCTCTCTCTCTCTGCCTGCCTCTCTGCCTACTTGTGATCTCTGTCTGTCAAATAAATAAATAAAATCTTTAAAAAAAAAATGCTTGGCCTATCCTCTTCTGCCTAGGTAACATTAATTCTCTCAGCAAGACTCTGTAAAGTTTTCTCCTCTGGGGTTCCTCTCCTACCCCCATGTCTGGGCCAAGTGCCTCACACCTTCCACAACCCTCCTCCCAGGGCACCCTCCAGCACGCTCATAAGACACTACGTTATATTGTCTGTTACCTATTATTCATTGTGCTTCCAAAGGGTCAAGACCTTGTCTCAGGCACCTTTGAATCTCCAGAGGTCAGAATCAGTTTGGTACATAAAAGACAATCAAGAGCTTGTAATATTAAACAGGTAAAATGTACTGAGACCTCGGGTGTGAGCAAGCCACTCTGAGAGCTCAACTCAACAGCATTC